AAAAAAAAAAAAACAACCCAAACCCCAGAAAACCAAAACCTCCATTTTCTGGAGGATTTGTGAACACGTGCTGTAATGTCCATTCTTAAATTGGAAATGCTAAGTTTTCAACCTTGGTAACTCTGGCTCATAAAGTGACTGGAGATCTACTCTTGGTATGACAAAACTTCTGATTGAAAACTTTTTAAAATTTGATGTTTTGGCATTTTACAAACCATCATCTCTCCTCAAAAGCATTGCAAAATGAAATTGTTGTTTTGCAGTTACTTCTTCATATGTCCATGTAGCAAAGAATTAATTCCTTTCCTCCCACACTGTTTTCTTCCTAACTTTCATTACCTTGGTGTTTCTGACAAGGATTCCGTTAGAGTCCTGCGTCTGTACAAAGACTAGGTGAAAAAACAGTTTCTTCTTCACATTCTCTAACCTGTTGGAATTTTTTTGTAAACTGATTTTCTCTTATCCTTAGGTTTGATTTTTGGCCTTACTGCTTTCTAAGTATATCTCTGTTTGAATTAAAGTCCTCAAAGTTATTAGCCAGCATTTTTCAAGGTTATATCTCACTTTGTTATTTCTGGACCAAGTTTTGAGTTTTTCAGGATCACTTTGTGCCCTTTTACTGTGCAGATTTGAATAATGCGCTCTCTGTCCCTTCTTTCACATTATTAATAAAGAGGCTAAATTAAATCAAGCCTGACACTTCTTCGAGTAAGTGGTCTTCCGATACTTCTCGTCAACAAGACACAGTGGTGGTGTTGTTACCTGGTTCTAAATATTAAATCTTGATGCAGTATTTCTTTCAAAGTCAGTGTAAATTTTTTTTTTTTTTTAGTGATGGGTTGGTGTGGCACTGCATCAAATATCTGTTAAAAGTTAGTACTTCTACCAATTGACATTCATGCTGGTGCAGTGCCCACTTAAATATGTAATTTAATATAAGGTTTGAAAAATCAGCTGTGGCACACAATATGCCCTTTATTTTTATCTATTTTATGGAGTCCAGAATGCATTGTGAAAAAATGAGTAACCACATAATGCTAATGAGCACTTCTTTGTGAATTTTTAAAGCTGTTGTGCTGCCATCCATATAATATGTCAGCCAGGGAAACCCCATGTAAATAAAATAACTCTACAAATTACCTGTCGTCTTCCACTCTTAATTCAGCTAGACTTTCTGAATATCTAGTAGTGGAGATACAGATATTTAAAATCTAACCATTAAATATATAATGATGTAGTTAAGACATTCGTATTGGCCACGCTATCTCTCTCTGGAATTTATGGCCAGAGGTGTTGGATTGGAAGAATGAGTCATTATTAGTAAATGCTACATTTTCTGTAGGGCTGGGGATTTTTAGGTTAGCTGAAACCATTTTTTTCCGGGAAGGTCTCTGAGCTATGATTTTAGTGTATAGTAAAGCTCATCACAGCTGCTTTTGTCTAGTTTTGAAAGAAAAAGAAAAACCCACTAAATACAATTAACAGTTCAGTCTTTTCATGAACATTTAGGAGAAAAAAATGTAAGATATGTTTCTCTTTTTCAGTAACAAATAGCCAATTTTTCATCTTAATTGAGCAGTGCTGTTCCATCTCTTTTTTTTGGTCTGATCTTAATGACTCTACTGCAGGGTATTAGTTTTGTTGCCAGGAAGTGCCCAAGGTAAAGCTTTGAAGACACAAGGCAGTATCAGTTCTGCACACAACTGACTTAATTCAACTGTGTATCACACTTAAGTCGCACAGGTAGAATAACAGGATCACAGAACGGGTGAGGCTGGAAGGGACCTCTAGAGATCATCTGGTCCAACACGCCTGCTCAAGCAGGGCCGCCTAGAGCCAGTTGCCCAGGACCATGTCCAGGTGGCTTTTGAATATCTCTAAGGATGGAGACTCCACCACCTCTCCGGGCAACCTGTGCCAGCGCTCGGTCACCCTCACAGTAAAAAAAGTGTTTCCTCATGTTCAGACAGAGCCTCCTCTGTTTCAGTTTGTGCCCATTACCTCTTGTTCTACGTGCACACACAGACATGATGGGTCGGAAGCTGTTACGTGTATTGATTAAATGTGTGCTTTCTTCCAGTGAACACTTAACCATTTGGTGCAGCTTCCCGCACATAGAAGTCATGATTATGGTTGTATTTAGTTTTTATGATGTTTTTGTTTGGTTTTCATCTTGTAGGGTAAGTCTTACCCCTTTAAAGGTCCATTCCCTCCTATGTGGAATCCATTGGCCTACCTGGACTACAACAACCTATGGAGGACGATGGATGAAATGGGAAAGGAGGTATGGCATGAGGAATTGCAGCTGACCGTCTCAGCTCAGCTTTGTCTCCATGAGGGGCAGAGTGGAGGCAGGACTAGGATGCAGATGGGCCAAGCTGCTCTAGCTTGAACAACCTGGTGCTGGCAAGAGCAGCATCGTGCCATGCATTTTGGTATGCACTGATGGTCAGAGCACAGGTTCTGAGTGGCATCCTGGTAAGCTTTTCTGAAGGCCGTGCTGCTGAGGCTGTCTGCAGTCATACCTTCGTTTTTCTGGATATATGAACATTAGGGTATATGCGTGTGATTTTTAGCACTTTGCCTGCCGATTGGGTAAGTAATATTTTAAGAGGCTTGTATACTTCAAATATACGCCCTTCTCCACCCTCAAATTCAGCTCAACCATTTTAGTGTGTTATCAGTAGCGTATGTTTTCTATTGACTGAGCTACAAGACTTTGAGAAGAGGTTGCTGTTACTTGCATAGATGAATGGGAGAGATATGGAAGAACTCAGAGACATTCCCCAGTACTGTACTTTGCCTTTCTAGGCAAAGTTCTTAGCTCTAAAATTATTCTCTATTCTTACATTAAAAAAAAAAAAAAAATCTTAAAACAAACAAACAACAAAAAACTAAAAGCATCCTCTGTTAAGTTCGCTATTACCTGCCAGGAATTTGCAGGCTGAATTACCATGTAAAGATGAGATTGTGATTGTTTGTGTTTGTTGTCTCTTTCTTATGCCACTCGTTCATTTGCTGATGAATGCTCTTTTATGCTCCTTAGATTCCCAGTGAAGCCCCGTGGAAAGCTCCACATGCAGAAGAATGGGACAAAATGACTATGCAAGATTTCATAGATAAAATTTGCTGGACAAAGTAAGAAACTCTTTAATACAAAATATAATAGCTTATATTTACATGCCTTAGAGCTCCAAATAGGCATTACTGTTTTGCAAACAGATATAACTACCACTAGAATACAGCCTTCTTAAAGAAATGGGGTGAGAAAATCTTGTAATAATGGACCACGACACCTGTCAGCACACACAGTAGTTTCTGTTACTTTTCCATAACTTTTTAGACTAAAATAAAGATAAAAGGAAAATGTATTTGGGGAGGGTTACTTCTGAAGACATAGGTAGTACCTTCATCTGTTATATGCACTTTCCCTCTCTTTACTGCGTGTTTAACTTTTACAAGAAAAATGCTCTGGCTACAGCAGGTTTTTGAATCAAACTTTTGATGGAACAACACACATTTATTCAGTGCTAGACCAGCTGATTTTACCAAAGTGCTATAAAAATAACATTTGTCTTGAAATAGCACTAAATCATTTTAACACCCATCATTCTGTTGTTTAACTGCTGTACTATATACCACCCAGGGAAACTGAAAATGCTCCCTGGTTTTATGTATACATCAAAGCAATTTTTCTTTACTTGCCATTCAACAACAGTTTGATTGGTTTTCTTCACACTGAAGCAAAAAAACGCCATTAATTCTGCCTCACTGTAAAGCAGATTGATTTCTGCAGCAACCTCTTCAGAATTGCTAAGCACCCGACACACGGCTGCAGCGAGCCTGCACAAGCTTGGTGCAGAAGCCTGCTAGCACCCACTCAAGCTGACATTGTCATTGACAGGGGCATTTTTATGGCTAGCCAGCCTCCTGAGAGCAACATGATCATTGTTAATGGACAGTAGGCTGTTGTCCAAAATCTTTTAATCTTTCAGTTGTTTTGCTTTAACGAGTTACAATTGCACAAAAGCATATAGAAAGCCTTTCTTGTTTGTATCACCATCCATATTATGTAAAACCATATGGAAATGTATGCTGGTGGTTCTGCTGGCCATCTGAACCTCTGATTTGGTAAGGAACTATACCAGTTAGCAAAACGCCACACGCCGGTAGTCATTCAATATCCAAGAGCTCACGTGACTACAGTCATTTTTTTTTTTTTTTCAAACTCTGATGGAATAAGACTTGACATTTTACCTCAATATTGGCATAACCGTCAGCCTCCCTTAATTCCAAGATGCTTTTTGGATTTTATATGTGCATCTCAGCTTGATTTGCCCAGTTTGTGCAAGATTTAGGTAACATGCTGTAGAAACTTTCCAACCTGGAAGGTAATGATCCAGAAGGGTAATCTTCTGCTGTTTCCTCTCATCTAACAGACTGTACAGATTTGCTTTTGGCTAAAATTGCGTGCTGGAAATACCCCGAGTGCTCTTAGTTGAAATCATACTGCCATTTCTAAATCACTGCCATCTCTAAAACACCAGGAGAAACCACAGAACTGAAATGCTGAAAAGCAATGGGAGAAGGCGGCAGAAACTACGAGAATTTAACCACCATCTAATACCTTCTGCTTATGAAATATTAATAAATACATATACTAATTCTCCCATTAGACAAAATATCTTTCAGAGTTGATCATATTTTACAGTATGTGTTTATACAGACAAAAATTGATAAATATTTTCTGTATTATTTTTGGCTGTCAAGAATGAAGCCAGGATGCACCCGTATTTCAGAAAATGGATCAGCTTTTTACTTCAGCCGGACTTTGCATTTTTAGAAAGGACAGAAGATACCTTTTTTTCTATGTAGATCTACAGCTGTTTGAAATAGTATGTTTGAGTTATGCTTTTCACTTTTTTTTTTTTGAAGTTCGAAGACTGAAAAAAGAAAGAAGCAACTAAAAGTGGATTCTGTACTGGTTTTGGAGGTTATTGATTGCCTGGTGCCTGGCATATGAAATACCTATAGAATCTCAGTCCCTGTCAATCACAATGTAGTTAAGCTGAGCATCTCCTGGTCCTGTCCATGTCCCTTTAAACTCCTCCTTAGAGTGAGGGCAGAGGAAGTGTTTACTTCTAATAGGAGGAATGTTTCCCTGAGCCTTAATTAACTCTGTCTTAGTGCACCCCAAAATCTTGTACAGGTTTATACAGTAATTTTCAGTAGAGCTGTTATGAAAGCGCCAACTGGAGGACATAAAGCAGTGATCCTTTTTCAGACACAGGCCACTTTCCACTTCTGTGTTCATCACCACTGGCTACCAGACCACTGTTTAAAATACCGAGTTGAGCAATCAAAAGTTTCCTTTCCCTTTTCTTGCCAGACTTTTGCATGAATGTGTATATGCTGTCTCTTCACTTACGGCTTCCTACTTCCATTTCTTTCCTCGTTGTGTTCCAGCCGCAGCACTCTCCCTGAGCACAGCAGAGGAGTAGGCAGTGAGGGGATGCTGACTAATCCAGAGAGTTTAGATAAGTTTAGACAAGATCCCTAACTTTTTTATGACAAATGTTGAATAATCCCTATGTTGTGTGCTTGAGGGACAGGCATTCAGCAGGTGCAAACAGAGCTGCAGATCTTGGATGTAACCTGGGAACCATGGGAGGACATGGTTGTTTTGGAGTCCAGTGAAGACAGGAGGGCTTGCTTCCCTTAATCCTGAATCTAGGGTGACAAGCTAGCTTTGTATTAGTAGCATAAAGTGACATAAGCTTTCATTGGCTCTTGTGTCTCCTGGAGCCCTAATTTTGCTGGAATACAGCAGTGCTTGATTAACATTTTTTTTAAAAATGTTGCATAAAAGGAATTGATATTGTTTCCTACTTTAACTGAAATCAAGGAATCCTTTGCTTTCAGTGAAAGAAGAGGTTGCCAAAGATAGTCTCTCCCTTACTAAAGAACAAGATTGTCACCCTCCTTCAGTTTTTAAATTAACTCGCTTTCTTTGTCTTTGTTGCAGTGCTGCCAAGAGTTTTGCAACTCTGTTTGTGAATGTGGATGTCACTTCTGAACCCCATGAGGTCTCTGCCCTTTGGTTTCTGTGGTACGTGAAGCAGTGTGGGGGGACAACAAGGATATTCTCAACAACCAACGGAGGGCAGGTACTGTCAGCCATCACCTTCTATGGCTTGTGACAGGCCCTGTTTTAACTTCCTTCTTTTGCTTGTTAATTTTGGTTCAGAGGGCCAACTGAGGCGTCCATGATTTTGAGCCGGTAGCACATTAATAACTAGTTCTGTTCATTTACACATTAATCTGGATCTTGCAAAACTAATGTTGAAGGCTATTCCTGTGCTGAAGGCATTGGCCCAGGGATCAGTAGATTTGTATCAGTTCCTGACTCTGGCTTCTTTTTGAACTCTGGTTAGAACACTTACTTTGCTTTTCCACTTTAAAAAAAGAAAGTGTTACTTATGCTTATTTCTGTCATGAGGCTGAAGCAAGCCTTACCACTTCAGAAGCACTTACTGGGGATGGCAATGCTAGCTGCACGAGTGTGTAGAGTGCTCCGAATTAATACTGAAAATGTAGCCCAGAACTGGGTTCCTAAAGACACTAGCTCCCAGGATTAAAACTGTTAAGATTTTAAAATCAGTCTGAATAAAATGAACACCCCTGCTTAACTATGGTATTGCTCTGAAATGTTTGAAATCTGCTATATTAGTGCTGCTTCTGCATTTCAAGAAAGTAAAGACTCTGTTAATGGTCTTACACTTGAGAAATGCAAATTTTACTCAATATATTAGAAATAATTCTATTTTAGAAATGCAAATTATTTAATCATAAATAAATAACCAAAAATACAAAGAATACAACAAAACATGTTTAAATTCATAAATATGCATAGACAAGCAATAATTATAGATAATTTAACTGTATATACATTGCATAAAATATTATTTGAATTCTGCATTATGTTAGAGGTGATTTGAGTTTAAATTAAGTTAGATAACATAACTGCAGGATACATTTTTGGTGTAAGCTACGTCACTTCCTTATACCTCATTATTTATTACGAGGACTAGGGTTTCTACTTCTGACGCACAGACCTCTGCAGGGATAAGAGTGAACTCAGAGAAAGGTTTAAAAGTTTAAGCGCTTTTCAGAAGTCTTGCTGATTCACACAGGTCTGTGGAATCCATTTGGAGACCCCATGAGAAGGGATTTTCTCATGAGGTTACTGATACTTCTAGTTTTGGCTGGTGGTCAAATACGGGAAGTGTTTGAGGAGTTCACTGAAAGAGAAAGGGACGTGAATAGGTTTTCCAAGTGAAACTGCTGAACTTTCCTAAAAAGGTTTGATAACAACAGAAGAACGGGATTTGTTTTGAATCCCAAGCAAAATGTTTGTCATGACAACGTGCTTCACATGCATCACTCTGCTGATTCTGCTTTGCCGAGTTGTCGTTTTCTGTGTTTCAGGAGAGGAAGTTTGTTGGGGGCTCTGGCCAGATCAGTGAGAAAATAATGGAGCACCTGGGAGGCCGCGTGAAGCTGAGGAAGCCAGTCATCCGCATTGACCAGTCGGGTGAAAGTGTCATAGTGGAAACCTTAGATCATGAATTATATGAGGTAATGAAACCTCTAACATTCAAGCAACTGTTTGTGCTGGGATGGCTAGAAAACCTTTAGCTCTTCCTTTTTGACTTCTCCAAAATCCTGTACAAAAATGAGGCAGAGATTAAAGTGACTATGACAGAAAATCACACTTTCTCGTTGTCCCTGAGTAATAGCAATGATAGAGCTTTAAAGTGATGCCTGAAAAGCAAAGTGTATATTCGAACTCTTCCTTCACTAGCATCTCTTCTAGTATTTGGTTGCCTTCCAGATTAAAGGATAGTTGTAAGGTGAACACAAAAATGTAGCTTAGTAATAAACTTTCTGTGAAAAACATTTCAGGCTTTGCTTCCAAGTTGTAACAGAGGAGTCCAGATGGAAGGGAGACCGATGGACTCTTGTAACAGAAAATCTTTCCACTGGCTTTTTTCAAGTGCTGGGGAAAGAGCAGCTGCCCATCATTGGAACAGATGGCTGTTTATATAATGCTTGTTTGTTGTTTAACAACCAGGATTTTGTGAGGGTTCCGTTTTGCAATTCTTATGCTAAATGCCAAAATTGCTTCAGAAGATACACCCTGCAGCCTCCCCAGATGTCTGCCAAGATCATTAGAGCAATATACTTAGGATGCAGTAGTGGAGAATGTATTTGGCTTATGTATAATTTCTTTTCCAGAGCAAATATGTGATCAGTGCCATTCCACCAGCTCTTGGTTTGAAGATTCATTTCAACCCACCTTTGCCGCCAATGAGAAACCAGCTCATCAACCGAATCCCCATGGGCTCAGTCATCAAGTGCATTGTGTACTATAAGGAAACTTTCTGGAGAAAGAAGGGTATTATGTTTTAATTGAAGGGAATAGTAGTGACGGAGAGAGGGAAGAGGGTACATAGTAATGGAGTAGACTTTGTGTTTAGAGGATGCTGGACTTTTAGAAGGAGACTTCATACACTTCTGTGCCATTTTTGCCTTTCCCTGTTTGAGAAACTTGAGAGATTGGTTGGGAAGAGAGAGTGGATGGGAGAATAAAAAGGAGGAGGTAGGCGTGAAGGGAGAACTCATGTCTGTTACTTATTGCCTTGGTTGTTCTTTGTTGTCCTCTCCTTTTCCTTCAGTGGCACCTGGGTATGAGATGACTCTCTCCCACTTGTACAGTAATCTAAAGGTACAAGTGATATGTGATGGAGAGAGGTTTTATCCCATCAGTTATCAGCCTGTGAAAACTTTGCCTTCTGGATGGGCAGGATTAATTTAAGGTGTCTTCACATAGACATCCCCAACTGGGCTAGCCATCCTGCACTCCCTTTACATGCTGAATACTTCCATCATGATTCCTCAGATCTCTTTTAGAACTCACTGAATCTAAGACAATCTGCAACGTAATAACACCCATTTCTCTTCACTGGTTATAAAGAGTCCACATCTGTGTTTGTCTACAGATGTAGACACCCTTCACCTCTGTGAATGATTTTTAAGAGTTCTGGATCCTGGCATATTCTGGCTATTAGGTTTGGGATGGATTGGCAAGAGGGGACTCCTATTTCCTGGTAGAACCCATAGTTTGCGTACTGTGCTTTGCTGACACTGTTGTTCTTTTAAGAACAATTTATTTTCTTCAACTCTTCTTTTAAGAACAATTGTGTTTTCAAAACAATGTACAAATATCTCCTCCTATGTCTAATGTAAATGTCATATACGGAAACAATTGTGCTTGAGGCACTTGAACATCTTCAGTACCTGAGAGCAGTCTGTTTCTGTGCAATTAATAATTACCTTGCTAACTGGGTTGCAGAATAATTTATTTTTCTATCATGAATTCAACAATAGGAGGTTCCTTTATTGACTTCTGTTTTAAAGATGCTTAAAAAGGATTGTTAATTGTCAGCACATCTCAGATCTGAGTTTTCTCTTCTAGAGATGATCTAGTGCTTCTCTGAGCCAAAGGAATACTGCTGCAAGGGAGCTGTGTGCTAATGTTTGTCAATTGATGGGGATTGCTTTACTTGGTTTTTTGGTTGTTCTTTCCTTTGTTTTCATATCTCCCTACACTAGAATCATAGAATCAGAGAATGATAGAGATTGGGAGGGACCTCTGGATGTCATCTAGTCCAATGCCTTGCTCAAAGCAGGGTGAATTTAGATCAGGTTGTTTAGGGCTTTTTCCGGTCAAGTTCTGAATATTTCACAACTTCTTGGAAGCTCGTTCCTGCGTTTGGATACATGGATCCTAACTTCTTTTCCACTTTGTGCTTACCAGGGTATTGTGGTACCATGATCATTGAAGATGAGGATGCTGCAATTGGTTTAACACTTGATGATACTAAGCCTGATGGCAGCTTTCCTGCCATAATAGGGTAAGAGGCAAAGAAGGTGTCTAGTTAATGCCTTTTTATTTTGCCTTAGAGGTAACAGTTGAAACAGAAAACCTGCTACTTTTGAAGGGAAATACTTTAAAATAGTTAAAGGATTGACTTTCTCGGTGTGTGGTGAATATGTTCTATGAACTTTTCTTTCAAAAAACTTCCCCCCCCCAAAAAAAGAAATTCTATTTTTCTTCTCTTTTTCTCACTGTCACCTTTTGCTTTTTTGTGTGGCAAAATACAAAATTGGAGAAGAGGAAAGGAAGGAGAAGAAAAAAGGGAGTGATTGCAGAAATGTAAAGTTTTCTCCAAATATTTTGCCTCCCCCAAACCTTCTAGTTCTTTAAATGAAAATTTGTTTTCTAGAATTATATTTTGTTTTGTTCTGTTTTTTCAAACAGCCAGAGAGTATGATCAGTCTTAAAGTTTATTTAACAATAATTTCCAGTTCGATCCCAGGCTTCACCTCCTGTTGTTAATGCCTGCATGCACTGCTGTATAAAGTTAAGGTCATTGGGAAACAGCTCATACAAATATTCTAACCCGAATCTCAGAGTGGTTCCTTCCACAGTGAGTCCAGCAGGCGTAGCATATAACATTATGCACAGGTGAAATGGATATTTTGGGTAGAGACCCAAAAGCTAATACTATGAATCACAAGCATCTCATCATAAGGTATTGGCATTTTAAATAATGCAGGAAATGTAGTAACATGATGGGAGTTGTTTGTGGTCTTCCTTTTTTTACAGCTTCATTCTTGCTCGGAAGTGTAGAAGACTGACAGGTCTCACAAAAGAAGAAAGGTAAGTACAAACACTGGAGATCTGCATGGAATCTGAGTCAAACTTTTGTTATAAATGACCAGAGCAGGAAAAAAAAGTCCTAATTCGAAGGAAGTTTTCTGTAACTTTGCAACAGTAGGAAGACATGTCACTTTAAGGAGAAGATCTCTTATTTGTTTTTGGATGAAGACCCCACAGAATTCCCACAAACAGGCAGCAGATGTGGTAGCTAGCCCCTGCCCTTTGGACACTCTCTTGTCCTGGTTCTTATTTTCCAGCAGGACTGCTCTGCTTATTGTGACTTTGGCAAAAGAACTGCTCTAAGGTGCTGACTACGAAAGTAGTGTAGATATTCTGCTGCCCTCACTGGAAAGCATCCAGGGCCAGCCTCCGCCCTCCCCACTGCTACCCCTCTGGCTTCTTGCAAGTGTGCTGAGCTCTTTGAAAGCTTGTCAGAAGGGACAGATTTGGCCCCTGTGCTTGATTTTTTTTTCTAATCACCCTGGAGAGTCCTTTCAGTAACTTAGTGCAACCTTGGGACTGCTGTAGCTGCCATGATGAGACCTCCGCATCATGAAGGGGACAAAAAGCTGCCTCCAGCTCTCCACCCTCAGTTATGGGAAAAAATGCCCTTTAGGCACAGATGAAGGTCTTTTTTACTGTCTTGTTGAAACAAATCTCTGCATACAGTAGTGCTCTTTTGTTTATTACTAAAATAGAATTTACAAAGTAATGAGTTTTTTCCATCACATTGATTCACAGTATCTGATCAAATTAAAGCTACAAGTAGAGAGTATGGATATGAGGAGAGCCTTATTTTGACATGGAGAAAATACATTTGTTTTTAAAGCATGCCACAAGGAATACTGTGTCCAAGTAAACATTCTTACAGTAATAGCTAGTCTAACTAGAGAAGATGGAGTCTTCTCAGATTAGCTTTGCAGGTAGTCTAGCAAAAGTCTATCTAGTCTGTGGATAATGGGTCTAAATGGGGCTGTTAATGTCCCGGTCTTTTCAAATGACAGCCTGGTACCACAGAGCACTTTTAATTTTGGCAGGAATGGACAAGGCAGCCTTTTCCTCAGCACTCAGGCTTTGAGATAGACCCCCAGCAGGTGACTGACGATAAAAGTAGTGTAGGTATTCTGAAATCCAGTGTGCCCAGCATTTTAAGCCATCATAAACACCAAATGGTGTCTTATGCTGTGTGACAATACACTAGATACAACTGAGCATTTGCAGTATTTGAGAACAGCTTCCCTTTCTGTGAAACGAAGGGCTGTCCTGGCTGTTTGCAAGGCACCATGAAGGAAAGGTTGCTTTCCCCTGGGCCTTAAAAGCATTAGCACAATTAACTGACCCTGCTGCTGCCTACGGCCAAGTTTTAAACAAAAGGATTCTGAATTCCTGTCTTTTGAGGAATAAACCTTTGTTGTGGCTTAACCTCAGTCAGCAACTGAGCACCACGCAGCCGCTCGCTCACTCCTCCCCCCCCCAAGGTGGGATGGGGGAGAGAATTGGAAGAGCACAAGTGAGAAAAACTCGTGGGTTGAGATAAAAACAGTTTAATAATTGAAATAAAATGATAATAATATAATAATAATAA